TGGTGTCTCTGAAGGTGGAGGTTCCCCTCAGTCACCATGGCTAGTAGCCATGAATCTATCTAATCCCCTTTTAAAACTGTTTATTCTAGTCCAGCCTGTAACGACTCCCTTGTAATTTTCACCCATTAGATCTAGTCTTGCAATCCGGAGCAAGAGAGAATAGATCCGCTCCATCTTCTACATGACAGCCCTTCAAACACTTGAAGACTGCAATCATGCTCCCCCTAAGCCTTCTCTTTCCCGGGCTGAACATACCCAACTCTTTCAGCCTTTCCTCCTAAGACTTGGATTCCAACCCTCTCACCATCCTGGTTGCCCTCTTCTGGACACGCTCGAGCTTGTCAACATCCTTCCTAAAATGTGGTGCCCAAAACTGGACACAGTACTCCAGGTGAGGCCTGACCATAGCAGAATAGAGTGGAACTACCACCTCCCGTGATCTGGACACAATGCTTCTGTTAATGCATCCTAAGATTGCATTAGCTTTCTTTGCAGTCACATCGTACTGCGGGCTCATGTTTAGCTTGTGATCAACCAGAACACCTAGATCCCTTTCACATGTGCTGCTGTCAAGCCAAGTCCCTCCCATTCTATATCTGTGCCTTTGATTTCTTGTACCTAAGTGTAGGATTTTGCACTTATCTCTATTGAAATTCATTTTATTTGTCTCCGTCCACTGTTCCAGCCTATCTAGATCATTTTGAATCCTGACTCTGTCTTCTTCAGAATTAGCAATCCCACCCAGCTTCGTGTCATCTGCAAATTTGATAAGCATCCCCTCTGTGTCATCCTCCAGGTCATTTATAAAAACATTGAACAACACCAGGCCCAGGACCGAGCCCTGTGGCACTCCACTGGAGACTTCCCTCCACGTAGACGCAGAGCCATTTACGGGCACTCGTTGGGTATGATTTTTCAACCAACCATGAATCCATCCAACGGTTGCACCATCCAGTCCACACTTAACCAGCTTATCCTCAAGGATACCATGAGAAACTTTGTCAAATGTTTTACTGAAATCTAGATACATTATGTCCACAGCATTGCCAGAGTCAACCATCTTAGTAACTCTGTCAAAAAAGGAGATAAGGTTGGTCTGGCATGACTTATTCTTGGTAAACCCATGCTGACTACGACCAGCATAATATAAAATAATATTGACTGTTTTATTTTCAGTCCTTTCCTAATGATCCCTAACATAGAGCTTGCTTTTTTCACCGCTGCAGCACACTGGGTTGACACTTTCATTGAGCTATTCACTATGACCCCCAAGGTCCCATTCTTTAATCCTCTGTTATATGAGACACACATTGCACCATAGGGATAAATGTTGTGTGAGTGCTGAAACTTGGGAAAGATGTCTTTGAGCTCTTTAGCATAGCAGCATATTGCCTATTGCTGCATACTATTCTGATTCCATGGCTATACCTTGATTTGTCTCAATAAATGTTCTTCGATTATCCTGCTCAATTCCTGTCTCCCATCTTTGTTCCAAACTTGCCTTGGAGCCCTGTTGCTTTACCAGAAAGGTCCTTCAAAGAGAGTGTAGTGGTCTAAATCCAGATTTGGGGGCTTCTGTCCACTCCAGGATGTTTTATGCAGGAAAGGGCTCTCCCCGCTCCTGCATTTGTATTCCTCCACCTCTTTTGCTCACTTCCGCAGATGTTTTTGCAGTCCCAGGTGCAAAAACACAGTTTGTCCTCTCTTGCAGCGCAGCATCAGACTTCTCTGTTTTTGGGAAATCCCTTGCTGTGCCACAAGAGGGGGGAAACTGCGTTTTTGTTCCTGGAACTACAAAAACCTCTGCGGAAACGAGTGAAAGCAGCAGAGGAATACAAATACAGGAACTGTTCCTGTGGAAATCATCCAGGTCAGGTGTTAAATGTCAACAGATCTTGCCAGAGCAGGAAGTGAGAGAAAGCAATGAGGAGGTTCCTCTCCCACATTCACCTCTTTTATGCGATTCAGTTTGGGAATTGGGTCCACTCCTATAAATGTACATCTGGCTGATGTATGTACAGACCATCAACATTAATAGATTTCTGTGCAGGTGCCTGGTCAGCCACGCCTAGAATAGATCGTTGGATTGGGATGATCCAGCGGAACATATACAGGTTTATGTTTTCGAATATGGAGCTTTACAAGGCGTCCAGTGCCAAAGACTGGGAAGCACGCAGAAGAATGAACAATTAAAAACAAGTTGGATTGTTAAGACTGACTGGCTGGAACTGCAAAGCAGTAACATGGCTTCCTTATGTGACATGTTGGTTAGAATGAGGGGCACCAACAGGACCTAGACTTTGCATAGGGGGGGGGGGAACTTGATGTGATGGGTTTCTCCAGATCACCTGACCCCTGGCTAGTAGAGTTCTACCTGCTGGCTTGCTGGCTGCACAGACCCACCACAAGGGCAGAGCTCTCAGGCCTCCTGATTCAAATGCCATGCTGCCTACAGACCTTTTTATACTGAATGGGATTTGTAGTTGGGTCACTAAACAAAGGAACCCATGTAGCTATGGGGATGCTGATCAGCAGCTGTCACGTGGAACTAAATCCCATCAAAAACCAGTGGGACAACTTTTAAATGGAGAGACAGTTTGGTGTAGTGTTTAGGAGCATGGACTCTAATATGGGAGAACTGAGTTTGATTCCCCACTCCTTCACATGCAGCTGCTGGTGTGCCCTTGGGTCAGTTACAAGTTCTTTCAGAGCTCTCAGGCCTCCTGATTCAAATGCCATGCTGCCTACAGACCTTTTTATACTGAATGGGATTTGTAGTTGGGTCACTAAACAAAGGAACCCATGTAGCTATGGGGATGCTGATCAGCAGCTGTCATGTGGAACTAAATCCCATCAAAAACCAGTGGGACAACTTTTAAATGGAGAGACAGTTTGGTGTAGTGTTTAGGAGCATGGACTCTAATATGGGAGAACTGAGTTTGATTCCCCACTCCTTCACATGCAGCTGCTGGTGTGCCCTTGGGTCAGTTACAAGTTCTTTCAGAGCTGTTCTCTCAAGGGCAGTTCTCTCAAGGGCAGTTCTCTCAGAGCTCTCTCAGCCCCACCTACCTCACGAGGTGTCTGTTGTGGGGAGGGGAAGGGAAGGTGATTGTAAGCTGCTCTGAGACTCCTTTGGGTAGTGGAGGGTGGGGTATAAATCCAATCTCTTCTTCTTCTAAATAGGACTGAGGCATTTAAAATTTTTTTTACAGCATTGTGACTTGAAAATCCTGTGAGACTGTGTTCTTATGGTTGTCCAGTTGTGTGAGGATTCACTTCCTGGAATCAATAAGATAGTTCCAGGTGGCAGTTAAGATAGTTCCAGGTGGTATTGGTCGGCAGTTAGATTAGCAAGATTTGAGACCAGTAGCACCTTAAAGACCAAGAAGATTTCTAGGGTATAACCTTTTGAGAGTCAAGTCAGATAAACGGAGCTTTGACTCTCGAAAGATTATACCTTGGAAATCTTGCTGGTCCTTAAGGTGTTACTGGATGGACTTGAATCTTTAAGCATTAAATATCTTCTGCTGAAAAACAATCATTGTGGTATAAAAAGGAATATATTCTGCTTCTGTGTCATTGATTTGCAGATAATCTGGTTAGGCTCAGTTACACCAGGTATTTTTTTTTAAAAAAAATTATTGTCAAACTAAGAAAAAGGCCCGTTGTGAAAATAAATACGATCTCTATAAAAGAGGCTCTGGGTAGGTGCCCCGGCCTTGGACACTCAGTGTTAATTTGCTGTGGCGACCTCAGCAGGGTATAATGACCCTGAGTCCACCATTTTCTCCAGAGGAACTGATCTCTGCTACCTAAAGAATAGTTGTAATTTTGAGTGATCTCCAACCCTCACCTGGAGATTGGCAACGATGGTTCCCCAGAAGGGAATGGTTGGTTTGGAGGGTGGAGTCAATGCTTTGTACCTGTCTGAGGTCCCACACCTCCTTAAACCTCACCCTCTCCAAGCTCCACATCTCCAGGAATTTCCCACCTGGAGTTGGCAACCCTATCTCCTGCTCAGCCAATCATCAACCTACCTTTATTTCCCCCTCACTCTTCAGCTTTCCACCCCCCACACACCTGTAGCCTCTCCCGTGCTCTGAAGCCCTGACTGCTACGTCACATTGGCTGTCATACAGGGGCCACCTCAGCAGCATATAAGGATACAGAGCCCACCATTTTTTCTAGGGGAACTGATCTCTGCCATCTTGAAAGCAGTTGTAATTCTGAGTGATCTCCAGCCCTCACCTGGAGATTAGACACATTTTACCTCAGAACAGCAAACTGTTTAGAATGTTAGAGGCAAAAGCCAATCAAGTCACATATGCAAATGACCTCTGTGTTCCGAGGCAAAGGCCAATGAGGCTGCATATGCAAATAACCTGACTGGCTATGGGTGGGGGGAGGAACAGCAAACTGTTTAGAATGTTGGAGGCAAGACTCAAGCAATGCAGCCAGTGGACAGGGACAGATTCTGAGTGACACACCAGGGCGCCAACCAATTCCGGAGCATGTGGAATGTTCTAGAGAAGTGCCACCACCATTCGGCTTTTATATATAAGGGAGATTTATACTTCGCCCTCCCCGCAAAGCAGGCTCTTATGTAAAGAGTGAAGAGAGTTCATTACTTGGTTGCTGGTGACAAGAATCACGGCCTCTATATTCCTCCCTTGCCATTTTTGTGAGGGTATGTCACAGTTCATGTGCATCTGAATAAACCTGTCAAGGAGATGTCTGAGATCTGTTCGTATTTTTTAATTAAAGGACCTACCGAGCCCCATGCAACTAGAGATTGAAATGATGTGTTAATGATTTGTATCTTGAACTTTTCACATTTTTGATTTATTACATAAGGGAGTTACATGCTGGTTCCAGATTTGGGAGATTAAGGAACTGGAAATGATCCCTGGCCATTTGGGTTGTCATGGAACAGAGACTGGGGACTGGAGATGATAATCTTTGATAACCAGGAGGTCTCTTATTTGTTTGCCTCTCTTCAGGACAACATTGCCTTGTTCCTACGAGGCTGCAAGGAACTGGGCCTTAAAGAATCTCAGCTTTTTGACCCGGGAGATCTGCAGGATGCAACCAGCAGAACAACAGCGAAGTAAGCCAAACACCTCTTGTTTTTCTGGAATTAGACTAGTCTATGCGCTCGGTTGGTATTCCTTGTTTTGCTGTGTGATAAGGATTCTAGAATTACAAGGCTAGTGGCATTCTGCGCCCTAGTTTATTGGCTTTGAAATGTTTCCAGCAGCGGATCATCGCGCAGCCTTAAGGTGGATTGAACTGTGGCACCACAACCATTCCCCACCCTTTAAGAATGAGGGAGAAAGGGATGAGGATAAACCAGGAAAGGGGCCGAGAAGGCGTTTATGTGGTTAGATCAGTGTTCTTTTCCAAAATGCGGGTCAGAGCCCCAACGTGAGTTAGGATTAGCTGTTGCAGATTTTCCGGGTTGTATGGCCGTGGTCTTGGCATTGTAGGACCTGATGTTTCGCCAGTAGTTGTGACTGGCACAGTGACATCAGGTCCTACAATGCCAAGACCACGGCCATACAACCCGGAAAATCTGCAACAGCGAATGAACTCCGGCCGTGAAAGCGTTTGACAACATATTGAGTTAGGATTCTCTTTGCAGGTGGCTGGTAAGGCTAAGAGGGAGGAGGAGGAATAGACTGAGACCATTTCCGTAGTAGTGAAATTCCCTGCATTGATGTTTTAAAAACTGCTCTATGTGAAATTTTCCGCAGTAGATTTTTCCTCACCAGGTGCAAACCTGAAGTTTTCTCCTTCTTACCCTGCATTTTTAGAACTTGCGAAAACTGGGGACTCTGAAAACGCAGGGTAAGAAGGAGAAAACTTCAGGTTTGCACCTGGTGAGGAAAAATCTACTGCAGAAAACTTCACATAATGCACACTTTTAAAAACATCAACGTGGGGGATTCCACTACTGCGGAAATGGTCTAAGTTAGGAGAGGAGGCTCTCTGGGGAGGTTGATGGCAAATTTGGGTTTGCCTCTTCATAGTGTGAAAAACAGCCACGAAACACAGCCGGTTGCTCCCTAATCGTCTCTATTTATAAATACTAAAACATGAAAAATAAAATACAAACTTGTTCAGTGTTAGTTGATATGAGATCCCTGTGTTCTGTTTGGGGAGGGGGAAGTTTCATGCAGTTACTTTGCAAATGAGTCCTGAAAGTAAATTTAGAAGGTGGTCTCGCTTCTAATGGCAGAAAGTGAAGAGGATCTTAAGAGCCTCTTGCTCAGGGTAAAAGAGGAGAGCGCAAAAGTGGGCTTGAAGCTCAACATCAAAAAAACTAAGATCATGGCATCCAGCCCCATTGCCCCCTGGCAAATAGAAGGGGAAGTCGTGGAAGTAGTGACAGACTTCACGTTCCTGGGATCCCAGATCACCGCAGACAGTGACAGCAGCCATGAAATTAAAAGACGCCTGCTCCTTGGTAGGAAAGCGATGGCGAACCTAAACAGCATGATAAAAAGTAGAGACATCACCCTGCCAAAAAAAGTCCGCATGGTCAAAGCAATGGTATTCCCAGTAGTCATGTATGGCTGCGAGAGTTGGACTATAAGGACGGCCGAGCGCCGAAGAATAGATTCTTTTGAACTGTGGTGCTGGAGAAGACTCTTGAGAGTCCCTTGGACCACAAGAAGATCAAATCAGTCAATCCTAAAAGAAATCAACCCTGGAAGGCCAGATACTGAAACTGAAGCTCAAATACTTTGGCCACCAAATGAGAAGGGAGCACTCACTGGAGAAGACCCTGCTGCTGGGAAAGATTGAAGGTCAAAGAAGACGGGGACGGCAAAGGATGAGATGGTTAGACAGTGACATCGATGCAACGAACATGAAATTGAGCCAACTTCAGAGGACGGCAGAAGACAGGAGGGCCTGGCGTGATCTGGTCCATGGGGTCGCGAAGAGTCGGACTCGACTGTGCGACTGAACAACAACAACAACTCGCTTCTAAAAGTAATTGAGTATTAACTGGGTTAGACCAAGGTTAATAGATGGTGCCCCCCTCCCCCAAGGCCACTTTCAGTGGCCACCATTTGCAGACATAAATGCTGAGTTGAACTGAAGCAACTCAAGGGAAAATCCAGGCAGCACTCTTGCGATAACTGGCGCGAATAAGCAATTCCAGATGCTTAGTATCCATCCATCCTCAGAAGACAGGCAGCTTCTGCTCAGGTAACTAAGGAGAATGAACAAGGAAAGGAAGATGGGTGGGACAGACAAGGGACTCAGCAGTCACAGAAGAGGACAGGTGAGATGCCTAGTGGATTTAGAAGCTAGGGTTGGGGTTGGTCCTTAGGCAGAAGAAATACCACCAGGAGGACGTGTCTGTGGTAGCAGATGGGGGTGAGGTTAGCTGTGAAGGAGGGTCTTTCCACACAGGGCGTCCAAGGTCACAGTGCTTCTAGGCCCAGGAACTTCAAGAGTTTGTGCAAAATGTTTACTATTGTTTTAACATTTGGTCCATTCCCAGTCCTGATTAAAATACAACCAGATGCTTTAAAAAACAAATGCTGGGGTTAATAGTGAGATGAAAGCATTTGTTCAAAAAGCGGCTTAAATTGATGGCGCGTATTTACATTTATGCGACCAGTGCTTCTCAGTAGGCAGAGAAAATTAAGCACTTTGTTACAGCAGATTAAAGGGGCTTTCAAGATGCTTTATTGTACTCGTTAAAGGATCCTCAAAAGCTGATGGCCCTGTGATTAAACAAACCATCAGTCTGTTTAATTTCTGATCCAAAGAGCAGACTGTGTGTCTGTGTATCCATGAGAGACAGAATGAATTCAGGCAAAATATCTACCCTATCCACCCACTCACCCACATGCACAGCAACAAACACTGGAGAGCCAAACCACTAGGAATAAATAAATAGCATTATTTGTTGCATTTATTAGCTCCTGTTCCTCAAAGATGCTCTGGAGTATCCTAAGCAAGTCTAACTCTGAATCCTACTGGTCTGTTCAGTGGGGCTTACTCCTAGGAAAGTGGTCTCAAGAAGGTACTAAATAGGGTTGCCAACCCCCAGGTGGTAAAAATAAAATAAGCTCACCAAAGAAGACCACTGTTCGATGACTTTAACACACTTGGTTGTACTTTTTATAATATTTATAATGCAAATTTCTTATGTCACACAACAATCATCCTTATGTAAAGTACATGCCATAAATGTAGATAAAGCCAGTAGATAATGATGTGAGTACAATACAAAATCTTGATGCAGATATTCTTGACACTGTTCTGGCTAATGTTCCTGGAACGTTTTCTCTTCAAGGCATCTTGAGAGAGCTATAAAGTGGGAAAGCAGACTAAAACGTCTTCGTTTTTCAAGCTCCTAAATAGCATTGATCACTCCTTTGTTTAAAAACATGTGAATCCAAGGAGTATGAGAGATAAAGAGAACACGGGCTTTTTTTGTAGAAAAAGCCCAGCAGGAACTCATTAGCATAATAGACCACACCCAACAGCAGAAAATCATTAGCATATTAGGCCACACCGATGACAATACAGCTCATTAGCCTAATAGGCCACACACCCCATGTTACCACAAGTGTGGTCATCCAGCCACACCCACCTTTTGCTTCTTATTCTGTTTACCTTGTTTATTGTCAAAACCCAGGGCCTTTTTTTGTAGCAGGAACTCCTTTGCATGTTAGGCCACACATCCCTAATGTAGCCAGTCCTGATGAGTTCCTGCTGTTGGGTGTGGCCTAATATGCTAATGATTTTCTGCTGTTGGGTGTGGTCTATTATGCTAATGAGTTCCTGCTGGGCGTGGCCAACTCGGGAGCCAGCCCTGTTGGTGTTCATCACCAATCTCTTAACGGAGCAGCCCTGCGCTTTCCTAGGATTAACAAGCACTTTCGGATATCTTTATCAACTCTGTCTCTCTGTTGGTGTTCATCACCAATCTCTTAACGGAGCACTGCAGGAATGTCAATAATGTGGATCAATGCTGTGTCTCTCAAATGTCTTCCCAAAGTTCTTAGTGACAGACTCTCTTACTGATATATGAACCCCCAGGGGGTGGCTGGAGATTACAACTGATCAGTTTACCTGGAAAAAATGGCTGTTTTGGAAGGTGGACTGTATGACATTATACCCCACTGAAATCCCTTCCTTCCCCAAACCCCATCCTCTCCAAGCTCCACCCCCAGAACCCCCAGGTATTTCCCAACCCAGAGCTGGCAACCCTACACTAATGATGATGATGATGATGATGATGATGATGATGATGATGATGATAATAATACTTCTTTCCATTTATTAATCGCTTTCTCCAGTGGGTTCAAAGCGATGTACAGTTACTCAATATAGACAAGGGACTAACAATGTTTGTAGGGGAAAGGGAAGACAACATATATTCATTTAATTGCACACGCCGTCACTGCCCGGTGTAGACGTCTTCTGGCTTGGCTTCGTTGTTTTCCACACGGCTGCTTGTTGACCAGGCTTCAGGACCCGTATGGCAATCGCCACACTGCCACCGCCAGGCCGGAACATCCACTGCAGGGATTCTTTCGTAGCCAAGAAGTTATTTCACCTTTCCGAACCTCGACCAGGATGTCCGGCCATCAGCTAACACCCTCCCACAAGGGAGATTGGCGTGCCCACCCTCTCTAAGGAGTGGTTCCCATTTTATCTACTCGCTGAAGCTTTCAAATCGCTGGGTGGACGATGAGCTGGGGACAACAGGCTGGCTGCTCACACCAGCGCGGGGCTCGAACTAACACAGTTCAGATATTAAGACAGTGGGATATACCCACTGTGCCACCTCTCCCCTAGAGTCCTAGAGTTGGAAAGGGGGCCCTCTAGTCCAACCCCCTGCTCAGTGCAGGACTGCAAGAGCTGGAGTGTTCCTGACGTGATGGCTTGAATGACGGCCCACCCCATGATAACTGGTTCTACTGCTCCAACCATCAGGAGACTTCTCCAAACGTTCATCTGAAATCTGTCCTCCTGCAACTTAAAATGCATTAGATTTAGTCTAGCCCAATGGAGCAGCCGAGAACAAGCCTTTGCTATCTTGGATCATGTTACCCCTCTTCTCTGGGCTCAACAATAAAA